CCCCCAATATTTTATATAATGAACACCAGTGCATGATTTCGCGTGTAATTTGGATAAAGCATGCACAAGTGAATTTTTCAAAGAGCATCAACATCAACCAATCAGAGTAGTATTTTATGTATATTATTACTAAGAAAACAAATCATTTAATACACTAAACCAAAAACAACTGTTTTTTAGTAGAAATAAAAACCGATTAAAGGGATATGGAAATAAACGATTCCCTTGTCGCATTTGAAAAAACTATTTATGGTGAAAACGTTTTTAAAGCTTCTTCAAAGGTTGTTTAGTTCCCGAAATATTTTGCATGAAACCATTATAAATCTGTGACGTGTCCGCCATCTTGGCATACGTCACAAGCAGGGTCACGCAAATATTTTACCCAGATATATACAATGCAGGTCATTTTGGGGACCAAAGTTATACTCCGGTTGCTATTTAAATACCAAATTGACTGACATTTTTGTTGTTGTTATTTGGTTACCTAATGAGCAGCAGTGTTTTATCAGATATAAAGATACGAGGCGAAGCCGGGTATTAGGTCTGGTAAAACATACACTACGAATGTTTTAAATTGCTTCAAAAACGATCGATCTAGTATATAATAGTAAGTTCACTGGCGAAGTAATTTTCAAAAAAGTAATTTTCAGAAATCATATACAGTACGAGATCAATTTCTTAGATACATGGTAAATATCGATTTCGAAAACAATACTAAGGTTGAAACTTGAGTCAATATATAAATGTGTCCTTTGTACTTAAAGTGGCACTCGCGTAAAAAGTTTTAGGCTGTCTGTTCAGTGGTATTAGAGAACTTTTATTGAAGTTTTATGTGGTTTTCTTAGTGTAAATTTCTAGTTATAATTTATGTGTGGGGTTTGCCTTGTTGGGACTTCGAGTCCGTTCGCCGATCCCATATCTAACTCGCCTTTGTTTGCTGTATTGTCTTTTGTTTCGTTCTCTCATAGTATTGTAAATTTCGCGAGTTTGATTAAAGCTTCTTATTATTTTATTTTCTTAATAAACGAAAACGCTCTTAAAAATGTAGAGTAACTTGTTTTGAAGATTTTTGTTCCCATGCTTAGTTCTTGAGATATTTCATTTTGTTTGTAACCATGTGACGTCAATGACTCAATTACATATACAATGGAATATCACTAATTGTTGTGTATCTTTGCTATTTTTGATGGATTTGTTTAAAAAAACGCTGCATCTTTGAAAAAATTTGATAAAAAATAGCAAAGATGCACAACAATTACTATCACATTATATATGCAATTGAATCATTGACGTCACATGGTTACAAACAAGATAAAATATCTCAAGAACTAAGCTTGGAAACAAAAATCTTCAAAACAAGTTATTATACAGTTTTAAGAGCATTTTAGTTTAAGAAAATAAACGACGCGAGTGCCACTTGGACGCAAGTGCCACTTTAAAGCCCTTAAGCTTTGCGCGCTTAGAGATTAACGTTTACAGTTCAAGGTTTGCAAAGGACAAACTTTTTTGAATATTCAGTATTTAACAGTTATTCTACGAACTCGAGTCGAATATGAGCTGATAGCCGATGAGGCGCGTAGCGCCGAATCGGCTATCGCTCATATTCGACGAGAGTGAGTGGAATAACTGTTTTATTATATACATGCACAAGGTCTGAATTCACAGACTTTGCTTTTCGGATATTTCAATATTTTTCTATTTTGTTTATGTTTTTATCTTCGCTCTTTCGGCCAATTATTTCTTCAAAAATATATATTTTTAACCATTTTAAATTTTAAAAATTCATTTGCTAACCTGTAAACAATTTGTGCGAGTTTTTTCATTGTGTTTTTAATCCTGTAAAGGCTATAAAAAGCGAACACCTTGCCGTTTTCTCGTTCGCAAAAATCGGAAATTCAGTTAGAGCCGCCATTTTGTTTTTATCTACTAGTAGGATATGAGCTAATATCCTGCTAGTAGAGAACCAATCAGATTGCAGAATACCTCATATCCAGACTTTGTGTATATAATAAATACGGATATTCGGATATATCATATACGGATATATTATATACGTATACTGTATATATTATAATGCATACATTTATTAGACGTGCGAATTCCAGGGCCGCAGGCTCGATTCCTGCCATAGAAGGCCTATAGTAGTTGCATTTTTCGCAACTGTTCCTGATTATAGGTACTGAACATTACAATCAGCTACATACAGTATCGGCAACACACTCACCAACATCAATAGATGGATAATAATGAAACAACAGCTGAACAGATGGTTGGAGAACTTCAGTTGGGCCATACGCCATGACAGCTAGTAGATCAAGACAAACATTTTTCTTGAATCGCATCATAGTTTCCAAGAATTTTGCATGTTCTTTGGGATCATTACAGTATAGTAGTACTGACATAATCAGCGATGAACATGAGAGAGCAAAATAACTGTCACTGTTTTCACCGCTTGAGAAATTACCTAAAATAAAAATACCATTTGTTTAACCACATGTACTGTATGATGTTGCTATAACGGTAATGGGGCCGTATCGTAGCCTGTATCTTGTAGATCATTGAACGTAACATATCTCTTGAAATCTTCAGTTAAATCCAAGGCGGTAGCTATTCTACGAACTCGAATCGTATATGAGTTGCGTAGCGCCGAATCGGCTATCGCTCATATTCGACGAGAGTTAGTGCAATAACTGTTTTATTATATACACAAGGTTTGAATTCACAAACTTTGCTTTTCGAATATTTTCAATATTTCTCTATTTTGTTAATGTTTATCTTTGCTCTTTCGGCCGATTATTTTGTCGAAAATATATATTTTTAATCATTTGAAATTTTAAAAATTCATTTGCTAACCTGGCTGTAAACAATTTGATTTTTTTCTGCATGAGTTGGTGTAATGTACTCAGGTGAATATTTATCACTTATTTACTGAGACGGAGGGAAACAGTGTGTTTTGTGGACCAGAGACCGCCGTTGTTCGGCGGTCGAGGGGCCACAAAACAGACTTCTTTCCCGAGGTCTTTGAAGTGAACTTAATTTGAAACCAAAACTGGACAAATGGAACGCCGTAAATGTTTAGTAAAAAGTTTTAAAAATACACTTTGGAACTTGATGGTTGACACGCATGCGTATTGCACCATTTTATTATTGACCGGTCAATAAATGTTTGATTGCGGACCGGTTGCCGAACATGACGTTTTGTGGACCGGCACGTGACAAGGTTTTGACCAATCGGCAAACAGAAAAATTGAACTTTGACACTACCTATATAACAAATGATGCTTGTGATGTTACTCTGAGTGTATATCCACACCGGGCAAGCTTTAACAGTATGCCTGGCCCATAGATATCTTATATACACTAGATAGCGCATCTCTTTAAGTAAAATTGAAGCCAAGAATATTCCAGCGGTTACTCCCATTTGAATAGATGGCGGCCATGTTGGAGTTTCCACTCGCTAATAAACGCTTAAAAAACAACAATAACTTTCGTCATTTGAACAGTTTGAAAATGTATTTGGAATAGGTTTAACTTAATGTTTAAGTTCACTGTTTAAGAAATAGAAAACATACGAGTCTTCTCATTTCATGGGAATATCCTGAGTCTGCAATCACGGCTTCAATTTTTGAATTGCAGAATAATTAGATGCACTATCTAGTGTATATAAGATATCTATGGCCTGGCTACGGTGAAAATCAAACCTACGACCATAGACGGATTTTGTGGGGGGGTGCAGGGGGGGTGCAACCCCCCCAATATTAGCTATAACCCCCCCAAACAAAATGTCCACCCCTCCAAAAAAATTTTCAACCCCCCCAATATTCGGCATAATAAAAAATAATTAAATAGTCCACTCCAACGTGCAGAGTGTTGATGATACAAAATAAACATAGGAGTACACTCAAATAGAAAAAGACGCAATACTCTGAAACTAATTGCTCCTCGCTTGCATTCACTGGTTTATTGGACCAATTGTAAAGTTTTGAAACTCTATTATCTCCCCTGAATAGAGTTTGCAGTGCCTTGTCATGCAAATA